AAAATGAGCGCGATCTGTCAGACAGTTCGTTTACGGCAGCTGTTGAAACCAGTTCACCTCAGTAGTGCGTTGCGAAAAAAACAATGGAAAAAAATATTGGACAAAGAGTTTGCATCAAATTTTGTGTTTCGAACGAAATTTCGTGTGCAGAATCGTTGCGAATGCTACAAAAGGCTTATGGGGAATCAGTTTTATCGAAAACTCAAGTTTATGAGTGGTACAAAGCCTTTCAGGACGGTCGTACGACCGTCGAAGACATTTCGCAACGCACTACTGAGGGGAACTGGTTTCAACAGCTGCCGTAAACGAACTGTCTGACAGATCGCGCTCATTTTTGGCATAGTAATTAAGGACAGTGCTGCCAAACTACATAAACTTAAAATATCGAAAAATATACAGCGCGCGAATTTTAAATGAGAATTTCCGAAAACTTTTCAGTCTTAATGTAAATTTATATTTTTAAATTAATAATAATATATGCGTTTTTTTTTCTGAATAGGCTTATCAGGACCTTTGTAAAATGAGATGTCAAAAATCATAAAACTATATAGGTACATGATTTTAAATACCATAAAGAACTGTGGGTTGTCTTCACATTTATAAATGTCCACCTGATTGTCTGTTTATCAGGCGGAAAACGAGGATTTTAGTTCTGACCTTATCGAATAATTATGTGTCTGAAGAATTTTGTGAATCCTTGCTAATGAATGGATTAGTATAGTTACTAATATTATATAGTTAATAATAATTTGAAAAGAAATTGTGTGTAAATATGTAATATAAATTTTTAAATTGAAAACTTGAATATATCAATAGTATATACCCGTCCTTAAATTGTGACATAACTGCCTGTGAGAAAGCTATATATGATATACACAATGGTTATATTAGTTTGTTCTCTTTACTGATTAGTGAATTATTAGTGATATAACAGCTTTTTAATGAGGTATAACATTTAAAATTATATAAAAAATACTACAACAATATGTATTAGATAAAAAAATTATTATTGTATTTACTAAATTAATAGTTTCTATTGTTTACTTTGCGTTTATTGGTCATTTTTAATATAAAAGACATCAGCACTGGTTCCATAGCTATAGAAATAAAAATGCGTATCGTGCAATTTATAAGTTGAAAAGTATCTGAATTAAACAGCACGCGACAATTCACTCACGTGTCGCATGCAGCGCCTAAGCTTTTTCCTCCTCCTCACCCTCCGATTTCCACCTTGCCAGTTTTAGTGGTTTATTTGTTGGTCATAATCCATAAATAAAAAGAAATGAACTGTTAAAGTGTATCAATATTGTAAGTGTTCCAGCAACTCCTGCTGTAGGCTTAACAAATAAGTTGAATTGTCACGCACGCACGACATGCATAATCAGAGCAGTACACTTTTGGTTGATAACATTAGTTCATTGAACCGGATGAAAATATGATTTGTGTTTTTAATTAAAAATTTTATAACTAACTGGACTTAACAGTCAATTGAACTTTTTGAAAGATATTTCAAACTTCGGTATTTACGGTATTTCCTTTATGTCACCAGATAAGGGTGTCCGGGTTATACTTTTATCGGAATGAGATATTTTATTAGGTTCGGAACTTTTTATCCTTCAGTTCATTAATGGTTAGTTGGTAATTATTGAATGATTCGATATATGCTATTAGTAACATATACAGTGATCAGCGCAACATACGGGATGCCCCGGCCTTTTATACCTTTGTTTATAATGTTAATGCATTTTGTATGATCTAATATAGATCGTTACCGGTTCAGCAGAACATAATGCGTAGTTTTGTGATTTATCGATAAAATTTGGCCAACTGTTCACACATTTTTTGTACTTAATACTTTTTATAATTTTTTTAAATATTATTAATATATTTTGAAGGATCTAATAAAGGCTGTTAGTAACATTGTGCTGTAAGTAGCACAACATATCTGTATAGAGAACAGAGATATACTGTTGGAATCGGGGTGTTTGTTTATATTTTTAAAGCATTTAATGTTTTTTATACCTTTTGTAAATATTATTAATACTTTTCTAATGATCTAATATAGACTGTTAGTAGCAGATACTGTAAGCACCACAACATAATGTAGAGAAGAGAGATATAATGACGGTATAGTGGTGTGTTCTTATATTTTTATAATACTGAACTCTTTTTATGCTTTTCTTAATAATTAATGCTTTTTTTAATAACCTACTATATGTAAGTAACAGATAGTGTGAATAGCACAGCATAACGTGTAGAAGTGATATGTCCCAGCTAAGTCAGACTATCTGTTCATACTTTTGTGTGTGGCGTACATTATTTAAAAAAAAATAAATCTGTAATTATATTAAAAAAAACTCTTACTATTAAAATCAAAATAATTTTAATTCCTTAAATAAAAATTATTTAAAAAGTGCCAAGTATTAAATAAATGTTAATAGCTTATAGTTTTTAGTATTGAGAGTACCGCATTTAGATTTCCTTAAGTGTTAAACAAGCTTCAATCGTAATGTAGGCATGTTTTCGGGAAATATATATATATTTATGCTAATAAAATCAGAAACATAAAAGAGTATTAAAGTCGCTAATGTTATCAGAAAATTATCGGCAAACCGACATAAAATTTTTATGTTAAAATTGCTTTGCGTGTTGATTATTGATGTGTTGCCACATTAAAATTTTCTACATAATTTTTATTTTAGGCTCACATAAAATTTTAAATTTTCTGTTAATTTTCTAAATTTTATTACTTCAGCAAATTTTTTTAAACCACATCTTGTTACCAAATACAATTAATAACAACACGAAGGCAGTTAAATGTCAATAAACTCCTTTAATCACAGCTAGATTTAAGGGCTTTTTTTTAATTTTAAATATAAGTTTCTCATTATGTGTTAAGGTACAAGTATTCAGCGATATGTTTTAATATTCCAAGATAATTTTGCTAAATATATAGTATGAAATAAGGGAGAGGTACAATTAATGAGTAGTAGCTTAAAAAATTAATGCACTGACAAGCAGAAGATTTGAAATAAAAGATACTGTTGCTGTATTAAATTTTATTACAAAAGAGCTAATCAGATCAAAAATGGAAAAAACTTTAAACATCTAAAACAAATATAATAATAATAACGGCTACTATAACTTTATGGAGAGCAGGTGACTATAACGGGAATATCTTATAAAACAAACTATCACAATTGCACTCAGATAGAAAAAAATTATTATTCTTAATTTTCTGGGTACATGCTATAATTCTTTAAAGCAAAGTATCGCCATTAATGGTAAACCGCTCTACAATAATATCAGCGAGCTAACGAAAGCTAATATTAACGATCGAACTTCATAGTTCACTGGACTTACTAGTTCCAACGCATTGTCTATACAAGCACCCAACAAATATAATATTTTGCCAACTAGTTTCATAAATCTTCCTATTAATCCATGATTACCTGTATATATACTAACTTTTGTTTTAAATACTTTAAACTCATTGCAATAAAATGTTTTCCATCAAACAGATGAGATTATAATCTGGTCCGTAACAGAAATTTACTTTGGGAGGTGGTTTTTCAGATAATGTCAGTAGTTCATAAAATAAATTTTATTTTATTAAATAAATTTATTTAAATTAAATGTTGCATTAATAAATATATTGAATATAATATTGTGCACGTGTATAAACTTTTATTGTATTTTTTTTTTTTGATTAATTTTGGGGCCTCTTAAGAATCCCCTTCAACATATGTACCTAGTTCTAATTCTAATATTTTCACAAAATCAAAGGAACTTATGTCTGTTAAGTAACTTTTTCTATAATTTTTCATAGTTTTTCAGTGTATATAATTTATGTTTAACCATTTGAAAATCTATAATATATTTTCTCTCACATTCATAAGTACATATTTATTAGAAGTATAGTTGTAATCGTAAATTTAGTCGTAATCTAATTTCATTTCACTACGGTAGCGTAGTTACTGGTGGGTCTACTCTTGTTGGTTAAGTTAAAAGAATTTCGAAAGTATGAGTTTCCTATAACGTAATACGTAAAAACCAATCATTCAATTAAAAGCTCTTCTCCTAGTTGAAAGTGGTCACTTGTAGCAAGTAGACACAAATTACTTGCTCAGTTGACACTAATGGGATTGCGTTGGTTTAGTAGTCGGTTGAACAATCTCTTATCCAAGAAGAGCAAACAAAATAGAACACTTAATAATAAGACTACGACCGTGCTGTAGATAGCCCTGACTTAAACAATAACATCTGTAATCACTTAGATGGTACACTGTAATAGGGGTTTTGTTGCATTCTAATAATATGTCATCCAGATGACTTTATAGAAGTTTACTTTGAAGCCTAGCATATCGTCCTAATGGCCCTTCATTCATTAATAAGTCATTCCAATGATTTTGCAGAAGTATATTTTGTAGCCCAGCATATCTTCCTGATGGCGTTTTATTCCGATAAAAAGTCCTTAAGTTGATTTTATAGAAGTATACTTTGACGCCCAGCTTATCTTCCTGATGGCTATATATTGCAATTGATCTTAGAGAGTGTGCAATTCTAGTCAAAAACCCTTCTAATTTTATATTATCTTCTAATTATTATATTATTTTTTATTTTTATATAAATTGGCAATAAACTTATAGCAATATTTTCCATTATTAAAGATAAGAATTTTTATCGATTTCTGCCGCCAACACTTATCTATATTAAATTGTAAATGTATTTCAACACCATTAATTTACACTTTGCCTTGGAACAATGAAATTTGCTGTATTATTTGTATTACAGCAATAATTTTCCACAAGAGAAAATCTGTAATATATGAAAATGCCTGTGTACAAATATTACAAATTGTTATGAAACGTA